CAACCAGAGAGATGCCGCCACCAGACAGAGCGCGAGGGCAGCCGGACAGTGCAACCAGACATGCAACACCAGACACGAGACACGCCCACAAACTCGACTGCCTTTTATGACCTTTCAACGCATTTCACGTGCAGTATACGTGTACTCAGCACCACTACTAATCCTAAGCACTATAATTAGTCGCAACGTTTCCATGCACACGGGCAAATCGGCCGATTTCCAACCCACTAAATCATCACGGCCCCGTAACACCCTCCGCGCGCGGTCAAAGGCTTCCCAGGGCCGGTCCATGACACGAACCGCACCTCTAAGCTTCTCGGGCACCCCGAGGCCCATACGGCGCCCCGGAGGGCCCCTGCACGAAAAAAATTCACAAAATCACACGAAGTACGGTACACCGTGTACGTACACGTAGCCTAGTCATGATCACTCTCTTCTGCGTCTGAAGTGTCCTCAGGCTCTAGCTCCGCCTCATGTTCCTCGCCCTCCCACACACTCTCACTGCCTTCGTCTCCGCTTTCCCACTCGTTGTCTTCATCATCGGTTTCCTCGTCCGATGCATCATCGATCATCGCAATCAGGCTGGGAGAGGCTGCCTGTGATGGAAGGCCGGAGAAGTCAAGGCCCGCGTCCTCCTCCTCGCTCTCCTCCGCTGCGATAGAGCTCGAGGCGGCCGCTGCGCTAGACGGGCCAGCCGTGGCTGGTGCGCGGGGTGATGCAGCAGCCGAAAAGGAAGCGCTCAAAGCATCCTGCTGCAGCCTCTTGATGCGCTCACAGCACTCACTGAGCTGTTCGAACAGCTCGTCCAGCGCCCCCGTGTTCACCTCGTGGTCAATGGAAGCAACAGTGGTGTTCTGTTGCGCCCGTATGATGCGCGTCTCGATGTTGGTCTTCAGCCTGCGCGCCAGGAGCAGCTGGTTGGTCACGGCGTCCTTGGCAGCCTCAGAAGAGCCGCCACCGCCGCCACCGCCGCCACCGCCGCCGCCACTGTCCCCGCCGTCGCCACTGCCTCCCCCGCCACCTCCGCCGCCGCCGCCGCCGCCGCCGCCGCCGCCGCCGCCGCCATCTCCTCCGCTGCCACCGCCCCCGCCACCGCCTCCGCCGCCACCGGCGGCATCGACCAGTCGGGACCAGTCAAAGGCGCTGCCCTGCGCATGCAGC